CCGCCCCGCGGAAACAGCAGCAGGAAAGGGGGGCTCGCCGCCACCACGGTGAGGGAACGAAAGGAACTGACCATACAGCGGGCGGTGGAAGGTGCAGCACAGGTGGTCCGGGCCTGGCGGGCCAGGCACCCAGAGCGCGAGGGGCCAGGAGGGCCCCCCAAGCCACACAAACAAAGCAGCGAGATTAAGTCTTGCTGGGCGCTAAGCTGGGAGGCCGAGTGCAGCCCCAAGGATGGAGCCCACATGGCCCGGGGACCAGCCCCTCTAACGGACACAGCTCCTAGCCCGGGAGAGCCGGCCTGGCAGCGCTTTGCATAGCTCCGCAGCGTGGAAACCGGGCAGATCCGCCTCCTGCCCTCGCCGCAGGGAGAGGGGCCCTGTGAGGCAGAGCGCCAGCAGGGCTGCTGGAGCGCTGACCTCCTCCTCCCACGGAAAACCACTTCCACACACCTCCCCGGGCAGCGGCCGTCAGATCCTAATGCGAGGGGACAAAGGAGAGCTCACCAGTGGGGGTAGGGGTCTCCTGCAGCCTCTGCCCCCCAGTACACCCGCCCCCCACCCCGGCTGCAGTCCTGGGCAGGGCTGGATGCTCCAGGGGGGCAGCAGCACCACAGGGAACCCTCCAGGACCAGGCTGCTGCTCCAATCCCAGCCCAGCGCGGCCGTGTCCGAGGGCCCCAGTGAAAGCGCAGCGCCCAGCTGGGCCGAGCAGCCATGGGCTACGTCTAGACCGGCATGATTTTCCGCAAATGCTTTTAAGGGAAAAACTTTTCCATTAAAAGCATTTGCGGAAAAGAGTCTAGATTGGCACGGACGCTTTTGCACAAAAGCACTTTTTGCGGACAAGCGTCCGTGCCAATCTAGACGCGGTTTTGCACAAGAAAGCCCCGATCACCATTTTCACCATCGGGGATTTTTTGCGCAAAACAGTTTTTAGCTATCTATGCTGGCCCTCTTGCGCAAAAACATTTCCGGAAAAGGGCTTTTGCCCGAACAGGAATCTCAAAGCATTTGCACAAGCAGCACTGATTTCGGACAGTAGATCGTCAGTGCTTTTGCGCAAAATCAAGCGGCCAGTGTAGACAGCTGGCAAGTTTTTGCGCAAAAGCAGCCGCGTTTAGGGAAAAACTTGCCAGTCTAGATGCAGCCATAGAGCGACTTGGTCACGGCGCTAGGGGGCGAGAAAGTGGCCAAGGAAGAGACCCCCCCACACTTCTATCACAGCTGCAGCACTGCAAGGACCACGAGGGAGCTCTTGGCTGTGGATCTTCCTGTGTCCCTATCCCAGGGCTGGCGGGGAGACAGGCGGTCCATCGCCGGCCCCACAGGGGTAATGTCATTAGGGGCCATGTGTTGCTTTGCCAAGGGATCCCCATGCCTTGAGCAGGACCAGACTGGGATCTTGCCCCCCCGCCCCACCAGCCTGGAGAAATCAGAGTGGGTATCTTTAATTCTGCACTGCACGTACAAGGTGTCGGCTCACTGCACACAGCATGCCCCCGCCCCGGGGACCCACACAGCAACACAACAGCACAGCAAAAGCACACACCCCTCCCACTGGCTGGGGCTGTGGTGGGGAGGGCTACACACCCTGTTACCCATCGCCCCTTCCCCAAGTGCCTTGGGAAAGGGGGGATGAAATGACGCAGCCTTCTGCACTGCACGTACAAGGTGTCGGCTCACTGCACACAGCATGCCCCCGCCCCGGGGACCCACACAGCAACACAACAGCACAGCAAAAGCACACACCCCTCCCACTGGCTGGGGCTGTGGTGGGGAGGGCTACACACCCTGTTACCCATCGCCCCTTCCCCAAGTGCCTTGGGAAAGGGGGGATGAAATGACGCAGCCGGCCATGCTGTGGGCCCAGGGCTCAGAGCCAGTTTCTTTAGCAGAGACCAATCAGCCAGGCAGCCGCAGGCTGAGGCCATGCCAGCAGCCAGTCCCACAGCGAGCCAGCAGCACCTTGCCCTTAGCATTGTCTGCCCAGCCGGCAGGGAGCAAGTCGGGGGAGGGCGAAGGAAGAGAACTCTCCCCCCCCACCCCCCCCCCCCCG